CCTGGCGCAGCACGATCGACGGCAACAGCTCTGCCTGGCACAGTTTGGGATTTAGGGCTCTGGACCCTGCTACTCCAGAACTGAAAAATCCCTACATGCCCCTTGACATCTCCCCTTACACGTTCTCAGCAGTTGTGCCGTGCAGGGACTCGCATTTTAAACCCAACACAACCAGGATACGGCCCAAATCAAACCAGGATACGGCACGTATCAAGCCTGACATGAAAGTGAGAAGCACAAATAAACCGAGACGATCACAGGTTATCGGCTGACAAGGACTAAGAGCTGCTGAGAGCCCCTTAGCACCTCGCGGTTCTCACGCTGCACATTTCTACCACCCTTGGTCGTCAGCACATCTGAAGTTTACACGGGTTTAAAGACACGCTGAAAGAAATAATACAGCTCTTAAAAGGGTTTTTCTGATCTCCTCCTGTCTCTCGTTATATCTCTGGGCTCATAACAAGGCTGCTTCCTGCTTTACTGCTTTTATTAGTGCGCCCTTTCTTTCATTCGCTTACTCTTTCCGTTCTTTTTTTCTTTTTTGCCTTCAACGGACTTCATTTCTTTTGTCAGGTTTTTAAAATTGGTTAGGTTTCAGGAGAATATTTTTTATATTCTATTATACTTATTGAAGTGCGGGTCTTTTTTCTGTTGGGTTTTTTTTTTAATATCTTTTTGGCTCCCTTGGGAGAAGACTGAAATCCTTATACTTAAATATTTGTGAATTTGATCCTGCACTGTTATCACAACTATTTATATTATATTTACTACAAACCTGCTTCTGCCAGGTAAGAACAAGTCTGCAGCAGTTTTTACCTTAGTTCCTAAAGATCCAAGGAAATGTTTTCATATCTTTTTTTTTTTTCTGTTTTGTCCAAGGAAATTTGTGGACAAAGGACTGATGTGAAGTATGGTACTTCTGAGGATCATGTTAAATCACATGAGAAATTAAAAAATGCTCTTATTTTTCAGAACTAAGTGTTGAATAAATCTGTTGTTTTCAGGTCACGTTAAATTTTTGTTACGCATTTTAGTCCTTTTTGCTCATGCACAAGTATGCAGTGTCTCTCATTACAGATGTACCTCGCGTTTTCTTCCCCTGTGGTGTCCTCTGTGCATATATAACTGCACGGTGTTTTAATTTTAAACGTAAATTCCAGTTTATTTTGTACAGTATTATACATTAACATGAGTACGGGGCTTCTTTGGTACATGTTGTTGACCTCATAACCCCAGAGCCACCCAGACAGCGCTCTGCTTGTGGGCACGCGATCCCATCGGCGTTTCAGTGGGTCCGTGGGTAGACAGGATGCCCGGCGGCCCTGCCAGGCTGAACTTGGCGGCTGCACCACGGGTCCTCCCGCCGCGGGCTGTGCGGGGCCGCAGACGGCTTCAGCTCCTCCGGGTGGGAAGCGGAGCACCGGCACGACAGTTCGTTACGAAGCTGCGGCATAAGAAACAAGATCAAAGTACGGGTCTTCCTTTGCAGGAGCTTTCATTGCACTGCAGGCAGTAAGCACGTAACGTTTCGCACGGGTAAGCTAAGCGCTGCACTAGGCTTTGTTAGGCGCGGAAGGTTAGATGTGGTTTGTTTGGTTTTTACGCCAGGGAGGCGAGATACTTGAAGGCAAATGCTGTATTCTTACAAGGAGTTTCTGAAGATATTGTCACATCACATAGGTCTCTGCGACAAAATAAAACAAAAAATACTTTGGTTAGCTACTTATGTTTCTCAGCGTTTTCCTTGAAGAAGAACCTGTGTCTCTTGAAAGCCGAGATCAAAGTAACTGTAAGTTCCCGGATAGGAAGAAAAATTGCGGGAAATTACACAGGTTCTTTTTATTTTATTCAAGGTAATGGACAGACAGGGAGAAGGAACAAGGGGAAAATGGAAGCGGCTCTGAAAGATAAATGTTTAGAAATTCTTCATATTTGAAAGAACAAGCCTGTCTGTTTTGGGGTTTTTTGCTTATACTTCATGTATTTGCAGTAGTTACAGCAGTGTTTTACACTGGAAAAAGTAATGATGTTAACATTCTTGTAAGAAGAGATTGCCTCAAATAAAACTTCAGAGGCAGCCGAATGAAAGAAGAAAATAAGGTTAAAATATGAAGCTTAATATCGCCAGGGGGCATCTGGTGTGTCAGTCAGATGAATGAGGTAAGCTGATTTATGCCCTACAAACTTTAGCCAAGGTGTTTCTGATGCCAAAGCGGGTTTAATAGACTGCTGGCCTCCCACAGATCAGTGCGAACTGCAAGGGAGACTTTGCTGAGGTAGAACTGCAGTCCTGTGTGTCTCCGTTGCCTGTGAACACTCCACAGCTCCCAAGCTGTTTATTTTTTTGCCTTTTCCCTTTCTATTGATTTTTGGTTGTATTTTCTTTGCCAGTTATAGTCGGCAAATGGCCGAGTAATAAATTTATATTTCCAAGCTGTAGAGAGGATTTGATTTAGCAAATAATTTTTACCATTTGGAGCAGTTTAAAATGAGTTTTCCAGTTGCCTTTGCAGTTATTTTCTCCCCTTTTATTCCGTTTTGCTGCATTGTCATGCTTGTTGTCTTTGATTCTCGGAAAGCGATGCTTTAGTGGTGACAGTGGGATATTGCCTCATTACAGGCTTCCTTGCCAGATGAGTTCCCTTAGTGCCAATTACTATTCAGCGGTGGATGCTGCAATAGGTCAACCTGTACTTTTTGCTAGTCATTCTTTTTTTCACATGCATTGTTTCTGTCTAAAGCACTTAGAGGCAAATTGTGCTCCTGCCTTGGTAATTGGTCGCTCTGCTACTCAGGGGGGACCGTGCGGGGGGGACGTAAATATTCTCTGGATGCGTGGCGCTCCACAGGGACCACTAACCTGGTGGTAGGAGGATAGGGCCAAGGCCATAGGAGATCGTCAAAGGCTAAAGTTTCTAACTCCTTAGCTGCTTTGCCTCCTGAGGGCCAAATTGCTCCTCCTTTTTGCATTTTTCCTACCTTCTATATTTAGCCCAGGTGTAGTGCAGAGATTTTGTCTTTCAGAGCTAACGCTTTGACCGGTTGAGGCAAACCTCGGGGTGGTGATAACAGCCTCTCCCAACCACAGGGAGTGCTCTGAAAGCAAGTACTGCGAAAACTGGGGGAGCGGAGTACTGCGGTAACGCTGGCGGCGTCGCTGCTCCCGCCTGCTGCGGCGCCTTTCAATCCCTCCTCGCCCCTGGGGCTGGTGGTGGCGTGTGCTCGGGCACCGGAGCTCACGAATCCAGTGTGAACCACGGGAAAATCGGACGGCGAGCAAGGGCTCCATCTCCCTGGTGGCTGAAAGCAGCTGCGTGGCACGGCGCAGCAGCTGGAAAACCGTTTTGACCTGCAACTTTAATCTGTGACACTCGTCATTTAATTGAATATGAAGATACGTACGACAGGGCTGGGAGTTAAAGTTTGATGTATACTGGGTGTTCTCTGAGGCACCGTGCTGAATTATCTTTCTTTGGCTGCTGGTGTTTTAACCCAACATGGCCTGGGGAGACTGCAAGGTCATTTTCACAAGTAAACGCCTCAAATCTGTAGCGTAAAGCCGATGCAGGAGACCTTTGATTGACAGTTAAACAATAAGTACATGTCTCTGTAATCTTGCAATAAATCTGTTTATGCTATGTTGTTTGTGTACCTAATTATAAATTTGGAACAAAATTCTCTGTTAGCATAATTCCTGTGATGCCAACAGAGCTTTTCATGCTGGGAATTTAAGCTAGTTGCAAAGTTGGTTTGGTCTAACTGTGAAGATACTAACGACATTTTTTGAAATATAAGTAATTTTGAAATATAACTAAAATGATGGTTTAAAAGCACAGGTGGGCAAACGCACAACTGATATACAACACTGCCACAATATCAATATGACCCTGCTAGTGTAATTGAGAGCAGAATTTTACACAGTAACGATAACAGCATCCCAATTTCCTTTCCCTCTGATGCTCACGTCTGAGTTGGAATTTAGCAACAGGTCATTAAACTGATGGAGACGTAGCATTGGTGCATCCTGCAAAGATAGTATTTTTCAAACGGAGGGCCATACTGGGAATACTTACTTGGAAGTGAAGGTTTAGCGCCTCTGCATACGTGTAAAGAAACAACTTCACCTCGGGGGGGGCCAGGCTATCCTGAGCGGTGCCCGAGAGGGCTCCTGCCCCCTCCCAGGGCAGCTTTGGCCACGGCTCAGTGGCATTTGTTGCTCTGGCTCTTGGGATTCCTCTGCAAGGAATAAAACTGCCTTAAAGCAACTGGTGTTTGGTCGGTTGCTTTCGATTTTGCTGCCTCAGAGAATACCTTTGGTTATTTTCTTCATTGCTTCACAACAGCTCTAAAGCAGAGCGAGAATTTATCAGTGACACTGAGGAGAAATGGGAAGAAGTGAAGGGAGAGATTATGTGAGCCTTTTTAACACAAAGAACTGTAGTATAAGTTAAGAAGATTATTTTATCTTTGGCTCCTCTGACAGGTCCCCTGTTACATAAGTGTTCTGCTTTTTCAAGTTAGGTATTGCCTAAATGTCAGTCACAGCCATTTCCTGAAATAGGAACACTGAGTTTATTTAATCTGGGGGGTTTAAGTATTTTCCATTTCAGAATAATAAATATATAAGATATAGGATCTCTTCTATGTAAATGCTACATTCTGGGAATATACAGGAGTATGTTTACATATACTAAAAAATTCTTAGTCATGATTTTAAGAGCAAAGCTTTGATTTTTGTCCTGACATTGCTACGGCAAACTTTCATGTCAAGAGAAACTCACTGAAGATGTTGATTCATTGGGAAAGGGGTGAAATGTCATACTTTTAACTACATCTTTTCATTTTCCAAGCTCCTCCTAGAGAACTGACAGAAGAAGAAAAACAGCAAGTTCTCCATTCAGAGGAATTCCTGATATTTTTTGACCGGACAATACGTGTAATTGAGCGAGCTTTGGCTGAAGATTCAGACATCTTCTTCGACTACAGTGGCAGGGATGTAGAAGAGAAAGATGGGTCAGTTTGGCATTTGTTTGTTTTTGTAAAATAACCTTTATAAAAAGAATTCCAATGACAGGCAGCCTTAATTGTAAAATTAAACAAAACAAAACAAATTTATAGTTAAGAGAAGTTTAAAACCTCTCTGTGAAGGCCTGGGTCACTTTGTTAGCCTAAATTATTTTGTAAAATAGCTTCACGTTTTATTGCGCTGGGGTTTTTTTGGTTGATGTATTATGCAGGTGGTTTGATTTCTTGTTTCTTCTTTTTGGGATGAGATTTCGAATTCTGAAGAGAAAACATTAATAACTGAAATAGATAAAGGTGCGTGTACGCATCTATATGTAGACGTGCATGTGTACATTCCAGTGTGCTTGTATCATGATATTTTTACAAGCTCGAATTGCTGTTGTTTATATTCTACTACCGCCTCCGGTCGGTAATGGGTCCCGCTGTGCTACTCATTGTGTGGATGAAAACGATGGTCTCCCAAAGTGTTTGCAATCTAAACGCGTAAGGCGAGAGGTGACAGGTTCTGTACTCAGCAGCTGATACGGGAGTAGAAGCAGCAACACTTGTTAGTATGAGAGGAAGTATTTACATTTCAGCAGCTGCGTATCCACTGAAGCCTCGTGGCAAATCGGTAGCTGTGTTGCACCGAAGTTACTTACTGGCGGTTACTCTAGAGCATCGCCCCTGTGACCGGCTAAATGCGCCGGTGTGGCAGCGTCGGACCAGCTCTGAACTTCAGCCCATCCTAATGGTGCCAGCAAGCACCTGCCCCCTCCGTCGCTGGGAGGAGGTGCTGTAACTTTACGATTTCAGGAGTCAAAAACAAGAGAGATTTGGTTACAGCTTGGAGGTGAAGATTCAGAAAGGGAGGAGGTGAATACCAGAGCCAGGTTCGGTCCTGAGAGACAGAGTTGGCGGAGGTGGCCCAGGCCGACCCAGAAGAGTCAGGCAGGCAGTGGGAGATTAAGAAATGTGGTTTTGTGAAACAGATGTAAAATTTGTTCCTTGGTGCAGATTTGTTATCAGCAAGACAGTCAGGGAGAGCAACTAAATCAAGGTGGCAGAATTCCCCAGGCTGGGCAGAGATTTGAGAAGTAATAGTCAGAAACTTTTTCATTGCTTTTCACAGCGTGTGAATGCTGGTACTTCAAAAAGTGTCACTTTCTTTGAATTCACACAGAGATGTTCAAGCAGGAGCCAACCTTTCTTTTAACCGTCAGTTTTATGATGAGCACTGGTCAAAGCATCGTGTCGTCACCTGTATGGATTGGTCTCTTCAGGTAAGATGTGAAGGCAGGACATATGTTTCCATATCCCTTCCAAGATCTCCCTAAAAAAATACACCCTGCCTCAGTTTGCCCTTCGCTCTGCAGAATATTATGTTATGTTTTAGCTAACAGCAGGGCCCTGAATGAACGAATGCATGTTTCTCCCCAAAGATGAGTAGTGGGCAATAATGAAGCTGTCATTTTTTTTTATATGTTACTTGGTCTTCAAAACTAGGATGCTGTATTAAAACTATAGGTTAACAGACATGCTAAGATGAAGGAGTCTTTACTTTTCCTCCCCGCTCCACTCTGTCAGCACATGGAAATTTTTTTAGGACAAAAGGTTTAAAATTAAACCAATTAAACATAATTTACTAAATGCGTGGTAATTTATTTAATAAATAATTATACGTAATAATATATAAAATCAAAAATAAGAATAGCGAGGAAGAAAATTTAGTTTTCTGATACACTAAAACTCAAAATGTGAAAGCATCTGAACACGTTGAAAAGACTGAAAAGAGGTCTTTTGAAAAACGCTGGGTCCCCTCCTCAAGCGAGGGAAGAGGAGGCTGCAGCTGCCCAGGGCGCATGCTAAAGCAGCGTGCCTGGAACGTATCCAGTTTCTGCGCACCGCAAAGCATTGTCATATTGCAAAATAAAACTCGACGATAGAGCTTAAGCTTAAGCTTCCCAAAACCAATACAGCCGCATCAGCAAAGCACAGGAAACCAGGTTAATTAGGCAGTCCGTTGGAGAGCTGGGATTAGCACACACGTACATCACCCCAGGTCCTGTCAAATTCATTCGGTCCCAGCTTCGCTTCAGCCACCCTTGTCCTCTCTGCGTCGTCCCTGTCAGCCTGTCCCTAGGTTCCAGCCCGGAGCAAAGCAGCTGGTTTCCCTGGGGAGGAAACCAGGGAGACTCTGCTCCAAGGTCCACAGTACAGATATAACGAAACCGCTCCAGGAGGACAGAGGCTTGAAAAAAGCCAACGCAAGCCAGCCTGCCTAGCCGGCCCCGAACCCAGCCGCAGGCCTGCCCCGGTGTGCCCAGAGCCCTGCTGTAGCCTGCTGCGGGTAGCCAAGATGCTATAGGTGTAGCTCGGCCCAGGGCTAAGAGCAAGCTTTGCTCAGCCTAATCTTAGAAGCAGCCGCTCTTTCTGCACCATGTTAGGTGTTGCCTGTGGAGACGGCACGTGTTTAAGGCCGAGTACGTAAATGGTGCATGCGGGCTGGGGAGAGGCAGCGGATAAGGAGCGCGGTGACTCTCACGTCCTTCCAGAAGGTCTCTCCTTCCCCTTGAAACGGCAGCAGCGCTGCTTCCATCCCTCTGGGTGCTTCTCAGGTAAGGTGACAGCTGACAGCATGGAGGAGGACGTGGCAGGCAGCAGGGAGGAGCTGGAGGGTCTCAGAGCATCACCAGTAGGTTGTGCTGGTCCGGCTGTCCAGCCGGGTGTGGTGCACAACAGCCAGCTGCAGACAGGCTTCTTGTAATATCCACCTCACGCCCCGCGTGTGAAATGAAGGATTTATCCCTTTGCTTTCAGACAAAATATCAGCTTAACAACAGGTATGCACTGGTGTGATGTGGGTGGCCTATAAGCACATACGGATTTCCACAGAAATCAAATATAAGCCTGAGGAAACACTTATCTTATGTTGTTCACTTGTTCAGGGGCTGGAAATTACATGGAATTCTTATCTGATATTTTCCTAACAGGCAGCTCTTACTGTATTCCCAGGGCAGCAAGAAAAAAAGCCGCCTCAGAAGAACACTGCCAAATGTAATTGCTCAGCCCCTGGGGCTCGCAGGCATGTTCTGCTTCCCACCTCTTTGTTCCAGGGTGGCCCCTCCTGCCTTCCCCTCCGTTAACTCTTCACGCTCAGCTCCCTGGCACCCCAGCGGGGGCTCCTCCATGCCGGGGGGCTTCTGCGCGCCGTCCCGCACTAGCCTGGGAGGAGGACTTGCCTCCTCTCTTGCCTGCTTTGAGGTGTATCGTGCGGCAGGCGCTGGAGCCGGACGGATGTATTTCACCTAACCGCTAGCTCCGCTTCTCACCCACGCTCCGGGACAAGGCAGTGTCCAGTATGCCAAAGGATAGTTTGAATAATCATGGGAACTCCTGAGCACATTGCTCAATTTTCTGCGATAAAACTGTTGCTGCAAAACAGCCTGGAGGCAAATAGAAGCTTAATCAAACAAAGGACCTTGATGCATTGATTAAACAAGTTATTCTGTTCCCAGTCACATGTAAAATACAGTCCCAAACGTGTGGGATCATTCACACCATTAAAGCTAACCCACTAGCCCCTTGATTCTTTCGCAAAGCAAAAGGAAAATGGCTTAGATGCTTCATCAAAGATCGAAAGGAAAAGCTCAACGGACTGGTTATAAGCATAGAGAGTGGGATCACCTTGCTCTGTCCATGAGGAGGTAACTTAGCTCATCTAAAGCCAAGAAAACCACAGTCTCAGGGATGCTGCTGTGTCTATCTTGACTCCAGGGCGCAGCCTTGAATGCTGCTTCCCACAGCACCATTTCCACCTTGTTTTCAGTTGCAGTCACAGGACAGATGGGCAGCTGGTGAGGACCGAAATTCTGTAAATGCAAGTAGATTGAATGAAGCAAGGAGTGTGCAATGCCAGCATGGATTTAGGATGCTGCTCTTAGCTCTGTCTTTTTAAGAGTCAAAAAGCCTCATAATGGTGTTGCCCAGCTCTGTATGATGCCAGCATCTGTGTAAACTTGAAACTGTATTTCCAGTCAGATGGATAAACTGTGATTGCAAAACCTACATATAGACCAGCAAGATTTGAGTCAGTGTTTGCTTATGGCCAGACGTGCTGCCAACCAGAACATGCCCGCTACACTTTCCAGGAGCATGAACCAACCCCAAAGTGCCTCTAAACTGGTGCTTCAGACCTGGTCACACACCCTGGGTGGCTGCAGTCATGCCAGCGGAAGGGCTTGTCGCTTCTGCCTGACAAAGTATCTGCCCCTTCACGGCTGCGGGCTCAGCTGCTCACGCGAATGGTACCTAACCTGTTCGGCCAAAATGAGATGACCTGGCAAGAGCCTACTGCACACGCTGTTTACTTGGACCTGGGCCAACGCGGGATGAAGAGCTTCAAAGGAGAAGCTGAGCTCGCTGTTCAGAAGTGGTTGCAATCTCTGTCACAGGAGAGAGAGAGAAGAGGGGGGTGAGATGGATGAGGGCAGTGGAGGGCAGGCTGGCACAACTATGTCCAGAGAGGTGGTGCTCAGGTGTGGGACTAAACCACTCTCAGGTGTCCCTCAGTTCTTGAGGAGGGAGAAGAGGTGATTGGCCTGCAGCATGCTCTAAACCCCATTCAAGTGATTTGGGTGCTAAATTGCCCTTACAAGCTGTGCCAGCAGCCAGGGTCTGCCAGGATGTAGGTACAACCCAGCCAGAGCCACCTCAAAATGGGAAAAAGGCAGTTATAGTAGTCATGTGTCGTTGATGGTTCTCCCACATGTGGGTCCAGGCTCATTTGGAACAATGAACTTGAATAGAAAAATCATCAACTCCGTGATGTATTGTCCATGGAAGTGTACACAAAGTGGGAAAGAACAGCTGCTGATGGCAAAAGTTATAGCTGTGCGCATTATTTCTTCCAAATTTGAGAGGTTCAAACCCCAATGATAACGATATAAAGGTCAGTGGGTGGTTTTTTATTTTTAAAGTGCCTGGTGTAGACCAAATTCACAGCTCCCAATAGCACTGTTGGCAGTTTCTTTGTCCCATTTCCTTTACATCTACCAGCTGCACTGTTCCCCTATAAAGCGGTGAATGGTTCGGCGGGAATTTACCAGCGAAAGGCAAAGAGTGAAAACGGTTTGTGGAGATCACCAAGAAATTTGGAGGGAAAGCATTCCTAGTTTACAAGAGGAGGGTGTGGGTCCTGCCTTGGGCTGCTGGCTCGTTGGTCTGCAGAAGCCACCTGCTTTTCTCTGGACATGCCATAAGGCCCGCTGCCTTACTTTGACTATTTAAGGGGAAGGACAGAGGCTACCAGAGGTGCCTAGTATCAAACATGTGTGAGTACGGCACTGGGTGCTATTGATTAAGCAGAAAGTAATTGATGTTTTGTGGGCAAATTGTTACTTCTCATGGTGTTTTGAAACGATACAATGACGTCATCAACAGAATGTGAAAATCTTATTTTTCGTATGTGATATCATGTGTGTGTATGTGTGTGTATATATAAACGGAGCAAATACACGCATGTGTGTTGCATATTTACTTCTATACACCAGTGGTTAACGGGGGTACAAGAAAATATGGATCTGATTTTAGAGGACTCATTGCGTCAATGTTCCTGAGTCAGTGGAATTCGAGGTCACCCTGTGCTTTACAAGATGACCTCAGCATCTTGCAAAACTGAGCTTCTGCAAAGAAAATGTTTTGTTTGCTATTTGAGTCATCAAGAAGAGCTTTCAGGTTGATTCTATGCATAAGCGAATGGGAAGAGTGCATAATGAAATGAGAAAGAATAGTTTACAGGGATGCTGAAAAAACTGTGAATTTCAGAATAAAAGCAAGTCAACACTATGGCCACAGTGTTTTTATTATTAAAACCAATTAAGACAACATTTTGTCCCTGAAGAAATGGTTAAGAAATCACATTACAATTGCTCAAGCATTCAGACTTTACCTCTTCCTTGCTTTGCATTCCCTTTATGAATACCCTGCTAGTTGTCTTTTCTGAGAATTACCTGCAGAAAATAACATTGCCTTTGTGATATCTGAAAATACCTGATAGAGAGCAAGGAGCAGGGGTTTTAAGGATGTCAGGGATGAGTACCAAGAGGAAGCTGAACGATTGGATTTAGTGCGTAATATAATTAAAATCAGATATTGCACATGTAGTGTGAGATTATGTCTGTCTAATTTGATTTTGCATAGGTCTTTCATCATCCAGATTATTTCATTTGCTTTTGCTTTTTTATTTCTAGTACCCTGAGTTGATGGTTGCATCTTATAACAATAATGAAGATGCTCCACATGAGCCTGATGGGGTAGCCTTGGTATGGAACATGAAGTTCAAGAAAACCACACCGGAATATGTTTTCCATTGTCAGGTAAGACTGAGGAAGCCATTCATTTCATGCTAGACAAAACAGAGTTTACTACATGGTGCATCTGCCCACTGTTTATATGAAGAGGTTGAGGTTAAAAATAGACATTTTTGGAAAAAGTACAAGCAGCAGTCCAGTGTTTTTAGAAGGCAACCAGCCTTCTCAAACAATACTGAAAGCCTGTCAGGACTGCATGTCATTCTTTGTCTATTTGAAACAGTCCCTAGGAGATTTAGTTTTTAAAGCCCCTGCACTTATGAAGTAACTGTGGTGTACCACTTCCTCATCCAGGCAGCAACATATGCTTTCCCACCCACGTTAGCTTCCTCGCATCCTCTGCACTCCCTTGCCTTGGTTCTGCTCAGTATCATGTTTTGCCTTTAGAATTGGGAAGTACACTTTGCGTTTCTGGGCATGCATCTTTCTTACAGCTTGATTAAAACAGTCTCGATTACAAGGACTACTCCACCAACTCCTGTTTGACTGTCCTTTAGGTTAGCAAACCAGTGTTTCACTTCACTCAATGCTACTTTATGACCATACTATTTTAGAAGTTTATGGACAATGCAAAAATAGTCAGATGCTTTATTTCTGTAGGTCTGTTTACGCCTCTTTTGCTTTCGTGTGTGAAAAGACACAGCCTTGTATTGACAGAAATGTTCTGCTCATTGGCTCTATCTCCATCAAACCGTCCAAACTATGGAGTAGGGCTTGGGCCAAATTTCCAACCTCTTCGTTAATATCCTTCTGTGGTAATTAAATACAGGACAGTGGTATTCAAAAAGCCATATGGAAAAGTTTCAGCAAATAAAACTTAACAATCAGAGATTAGTAAAATGCAGATTATTCTGCGGTAAAAATTGCTTCTCTTGGAAGGATATGTATTACCTGGCTAATTGTGTAAGCTAAGTGTCATTTTACATTTAAGGACCAAACATCTTTTTGAACTAAGTTTATGTTTGGACTTGGGTACATTATCAGATGTAACATAGTGGGAGGGAGTTGCTGGAATTGAAGTTACTGCTTCAACCCGATTAAGTAACCTTTAATTCTGGGCATGTTTTTCTAATTTGCTATACTGAAAAACAACTTCACAAGGAGCCTAGGCCTGCACAGCAAATATGCCATACAGATTTAGATACATATATATGCATGTGTGTCTGTGTGTGTATTACCTTTGAAATGAGAACTTGTATTTTTCTGGATATCATATTCATCAGACTGATGTGTTCTTTCAGACTGCTTAAGATCTTAGCTCAGATCCCATCTTCAAATTCTTCGAGGATGTACATGCAGCTTAGTGTTTTAAACAAAATATTCAAGAGAAGAGATTGCCTATTGCATTTTCAGGAAGAATAATCCTTAAACTGGATTGATTTTGCAAGATAATAAACAGATTCAGGGTAGCCCTTCTGAGTACACAAAGGGGAGATTGACTACAGTCATAACAGTGTGCTCCGTTAATTAAAAATTCTATCTAGTTTTAAAAGTAGGTACACTTAAACAGGGGAGGTATGACTCACTAAATTGAAAGCATTGAGGCAGGCTGTACTCTTCATTAGAAAAACGCACATAGGACAAAGTGCTGGCCAGAGATTTGTCCTGGCTGAGCTTCTATCTAATTCTCCCATTAAGTTGGATGTCCCTTTTTTAGAACTGGAACCTTAAAACCTGTGAACTGAGGGACACATATGGCACTGTGCTTTCACAAGCATCCTGAATTCACCATCTTTCAGATAAATGAAATCAGTTCTTCTCTCCATGGGAAATATCTTTTTTTTTTTTTGTCAAACTGTCCACACATAATTTGCATTATAAGTCCGTTATGAGTTGGAACCATGTTTGAACCACCATTATGGGGCTTCTGACATGTGGAATATCTTCTGCATCTCAGATCAGATGGGGATACCCACATGAGATTAAATGGGGAAGCAAAAAGCATGAGACTTGGTCTCTTGAACACAGGTTATATTCTAACTGACTCAGATGGAAAATAAAAAAAAAAATTATCTTAGCTCAGAATCTGGAATTCAGTTCTGTAGATCATCATGTTATTCTGTTAGTTAGTGGAAACCAACTGTATTATTAGTCAGCCCCATATCATTTATATTACCATTTTGCAAGAGAAACATTCCCTTATTCAGTCCTGATTCAGTCATTTCTCCAAGTCTTCTGTGAGACAGGCCCAATTTTTCTTCCGCAATACATGACCTTATAACATTCCAGCCCAGCAGCTAGAGATTAACCTTATCGTTACAGCTAGGTTGCCCGGATATGACACAGTACTTTGAGTGTATTTTCCCAATAGACTTCTATTTTCCTTTCCAAAGATTTTCTGTAAAAACTTGGTCTAAATAAATACTATATGGTGCTGACTAATATACCTTTTGCCTTTCAATTTTTGGGCTCACAGAGTGAGATATAAGCAAGCAGAAACTCATTTCAGATGTGTCAAGGAATTCATGAAAGCAAATTCTGAGAAACCAAATCAATAAATAGGTTTATGAAGCCATTTCTGAGTACCTTCTAAGAAATCCTACCTCAGGAGTTCTGGTAACATCAATATAATAGATATGTGAAGCACCTCTGGACAGCTAAAGAGTTGGCTGAACTTCAGCAGGTAGAACTTTAGATACTTATTGTGCACATTTGGTAAATTCTTGAAGCTAGGAACCGTAATGTTTTCCTGTCTTTCCTGGTATATTATACAGATTTAAGTAAGAGGATTACCAAGGTATTTCTTTACCTCTTTCTATGACTTTTTGTAATCTTATCTAGGATTATTGAAATTGGCATAATCAGAACAACAGATTTCCTTGTGCCTTTGCTGAAAGTTGCCATAACCCAGGGGCTTCAACTGAAGTTGTCTATCAGCCATGGCATACAATGATGCCAAAAATCTACAAACAATGATGTTTTCTTGTAACTCTAATCAGCAAAACGTTTTTCAGTCCTCAGATGTGAGGGTTGATGTATTCTGTAAATGTTTATCTCAGCTGTTGTCACTAATGATCTTATTGTTATGAAATTCTCGCCCAATTTAAAGTCACATTAGATTGTTGGCTCATTAATACAGAGTAGGTGGTAGTAAATTTCATAGCTCTACAATATGTTGTGCTACAAATACTGGATTCAATTTTAGTTAATATGCATTAAGGGAAAAATGACTATCGGCCAAGTGGACTTGTTTACTCATTAATTCATGTGAACTGCCATGTGATCTATCAGATCCTTTCTAAACAAAACAGTCCTACTGGCTTCTACTCTCTCCTCCTGTGGAATATTTATTTTCTTCTACTTTTATTTTTGTCCTTCTTTGGGATTTTATATTTCTACTTTACTCAGTGATGTGCTGACAGTATTTTAGCTGGGACTCCCACAGATTTTTTCCTTTATAGCTCATCATACATTTCTTTACCACAAGGTTAGAAATGCAAAAACATGGAAGAGTGAGAGATTGGGCAATTTGTTCATTTGTTTTCCTGTGCAAGTAAATGAATGTTGTCTCAGAAGCAAAATCAAAGTGGAAGGGTGATATCATTTGCCCAAGGAATGAACGCTCAATGCTTTCCTTAGGTAGGGAGGAATAAATTGAGCATGCAGTTAACACTGCAGAGTGCAGACTTGGAATGTCCTTGTAGGGAAGAGTCAGGGATGTCCTCTTCCCCCACACTGGAGCATCACAAACTTTTGGTGTAATCCAGTGCATTCCAAAGGCAAAACCCAAGCCTTTCAGAAGTACTTTATGAGGCCCTGAGGATGAGTCATCCATGGTTGGGTTGGTTTGGCAGTATCCAAAGAGGGAATTAATTCCAGCAAAGACATGGAAATCACATTGACTCTCCCTCATTTTGGTGGGAGAATTTTAAGCAGTAGTTCACACTGCTTCTCTCAGCTACTGTTGTTCTGCGTTTAGGTGGGGGTGACAAAAATGAAAATAGTATGGCATAGTTATTGATGATATGACTCAACATGAGCTCAATCCTATATTGATTTATGCAATGCATGGGGCTGGCCTTGTACGTGAACATTCTTGTACTATTGATTGATAGAGTAGCATCAATGATATTTCTCAGTCTTACTCTTTTTCTTAGAAAGCGCATGTCTGTGACCTGTTTTTTGACTGAACAAACAAATAAAAATCTACATTACCCGTTAATTATGAGGATTATTTGTAATGCAATGCCCATTGTTTAAGTACTACTGTTCATCTTTGCCCATAAGGTTGTTTCTGTTTCCTGGTGGACTGATCTAAGCTTTCTAAGCCAAAGTGATCTGAAGATCTGAAACTTTGGACCAACATATCTGGTTGAGTGAGGCAAATGAGAACTCAGACTGCCTTTGCCCTTAAGTGGCTAGTTGAAGTCTGAGTTATTATGCCCTTCCTTTCAGCAGAGCCTGTTAGCATGGGTACAGCACTGCTCTGCACATACACCAGATCTCATAGCTTTTGAGTTAGAGCTGATCTACAGAGACAGAAGATACAAGAGAAAGAAATAATCAGTGGGTCTAGTGAACTTTAGGGTATTGCAAACCATTTCCTTTCTTCTGGAACCAAACAGGGGTTATTAAAGTTGGTTGAGGTATCTGGACCTCAGCTTCAAACATCCATCACTATAAGAAAGGAGGGGTGGGGGGAAGACAGCTCAAGGTATTAGTTTCATGCAAATAAACCAAATTGAATGTTACTTTCTGATTTGGAGGACTCTGCATTGTGTTTGGAAAGTTCAACAAATTCTGCTTTCCTACACCCAATCTAATGATAGCAGCAACAAAAAAATTACTACATTGACTGCATTTTGATTTATTATAGTTTATTTCCTGATCTATTAATTTCCCCTTTCCCAGCTATGTGTTTTCCAAGTGTCTCAAAAGGGCAGTGAGAAGTATGAATCTGACACTTAGAAGTAACTCCATTCAGTGTATTTTTAAGGAAGGAGAGTACATGTGAAGTAGCTCTTATTTGAGGAAGCAGTAACCATTTAAGAGTTCTTTCAAGAAGT